ACATAATTGATTAATAAAAGCGCTTCCTTCAAAAAATTTCAATTTTAGTTTGCACTTGAAATCGGGCACGAACTTATGCACTCATCAATATTTATTATCGATACCTTCCAACTTTTAATTTTTCACATTTTATTTATTTTTTTCATACTTTTGCTATTTTTGATTCTTCTTATCTTAATATTTTTATGCTTTCTTCTAAGAAATTTTATATAATAAAAATTTTTCTATTTATTTAATTTACTTTTATACTCGCCAATATGAACACAAGCGGCAATAGTACCGTTAAATAAGCACGTACTAAGCTCATTTATCAAATAATATTATGCGAAAATAATTCTGAAAATTGTAACGGTCTTTTAACTACTACAGAGCAATTAATGCAGTGTACAAATAAATTTGATTTTCTATCTGTAATCGATAATAATTATTATATACAGGATGCACTCCAAATGAAGCGGATATTTCCTCGCTGGAATTATACTAGAAAAGTGAGGGGATTTTACTGCATTTCAGTAATTTTTAAGTTGTTTATTATTAGTTTTTTTTTAGTGTTTTAGCTTATTTTTAAACAAAAAATCTCTTTTTTAAATGTACTTTATTATTTTTTTATTTAAAAAAAATATTTTAAAACAAATTAAACCTAAATAAATTCCTACCCTGTAGAACATTTTTATTTGATTTATCACAATATAATATTTTTAGCTAATTACATATATTAAATTTCAATTTTCCAAATACAACAACATTTGAATAAAAGCTCAACCTAAAAGTTCAATGCACAATTAATCATTAGCAAAAATTTCATTTTTGAAATCAAATCAGCAAAATAAAAAATAAAAAAAAATTTAATAATAATTAATAAATAATTACCTTGTCTAAATTATAATTTTCATTAAAAAAATCATAAACCCAAAGTAAATAAAGTAACAAATAAATTATTTTTAATATAAAATATTAAGCTGTAATTTTCAAAAAAAAAAAAAAAACAATTTTCGGGCACTAAATTTTTTTCCTTAAATACTTGCGATAAGTGAACTAACGTTTGAAAAAATGTATACAAGCATGTTTTAAATAGTATTATTTTTAATTTATCGCGCACATTATAACCACATTTGGATTACGGAAATGAAATCGATCGGCTAAACGCATATACATATAAACAAACGAATGTCTAAAACAGACCATCATCTTTTTCGATTTACGCGTCAAATTTTTACTCAAATTGCGCTTTATTTTCAATCGAATGAAGTAGCTAATAAATTTGAAACAGAATTTAAATGTCTGCTCGTGCAAATAATTATGCAAATCATATGCAATTTCTATGTAGCTGTGGCGCCAAACGCATCTGACGTGTCAAACCGGGCCCACCCACATAAAAAGTAGCATTTTTTTGGCAGTTGCCATACAGCGTATAATTAAATGACGCCACACCTGCCGCCAACAGCGCCAGCAAGACATGTTACCATGCATAAGAGACTAACATATGTGTGGTTTTTTAATATTAGCAACGTTTTCTTTTTTTTTTTAATTCTGCTGCGAGACCCTACAAGATATTGCAAAACAGAAGCCAAAAAAATTTTAGTCGAAAGCAGCTACAAAAAACACATGTCGGAATGTATGGAAAATACTTTTTTCATACAGTTTAGTGTATTTTGCCATATTAAATAAAGTTTGGGTGAAATGTCTTTACGTGCCACTTCTGGGTGTGAGTAAACAACGAAGCTCGAAAATTTCTAAATTTATTATTTTAAGAATAAAGCTCTCTCCTTTTATTTTATTTTATTTAACTTAATTTTATTTCATTTTATTTTATTTTATTTTATTTTATTTTATTTTATTTTATTTTATTTTATTTTATTTTATTTTATTTTATTTTATTTTATTTTTTTTTTATTTTAATAAGTTTAAATTCATTTGATTTTATTTCAAAAAATTTTTTTAATTTTAATTTTTTTATATTTTTAGTAATTATTTTTAAAAATGATAAATGCATTGCATTCAGCTAATATTCCACCAAATCGCCCATCAGTCTACGTTTAACTTTCGGTAGCTTGAAATTTCATTATGCGCCACAGCGCTTAAAAACCCATTAATCACTTCATTATTTTGTAATTTCGAAAACTTGCCATAAATCGTTCATATATTTTTTGGCTCTCCTAACCTCCTACGCATATCGACATACGCAATGCTGCTGTCTACGTCGTGATGAAGCCAGTGCATTTGTTGTTTACTTGAGCTTTTCTGCTTGACAGTTACTAAAGCTTACACTGATACTATTTAAAATGCAATCAATTTTCGGCAGAATGTTTTCCCCCACGCAACCCCTTCATGTGTTTTGCCAGAAGTAAGTTTTTGGTTTCCTCGTCGCACCAGAAGGAGAAACGGACGTCGGCTGAGTAAACGCAAGCGAAATTGAGCGCGCTCACACAATTCCAATCAGTGCTTAAACAACTTAGACATAAAAACGTTTAGTTTGCGCTAGTTAAATAAATTCTTATATAGAGAAGGGCAGGGCAGATATAATAGAAATGGAAGCAAATCAGATTTTCGTTTAATTAAGTAATGATGTCCAGCCGCTGAAGTGATTTTCGACCGCTGGTCCTCCTCTTATTTGTGGCGTGCGTGCGTATAAGTTAGTCTTTGCTGCCTCCGAGCAAGAGCGCCTATTGCAGCTGATACTCCTTTCCTTGGAAACTATAGGACCAATATCAGATAGCGGGAAGAGGTCTCACGCAAATTAACCACACAGAACTAGCTAAGAGAACAAAGTCTCTGGTTTTCTAAACCGATTCACTATCAGCATCAACACTGGTATAAAAACCAGCTACTGTTTGACGGATACTCACGGAAAGAGGATGTGCTACGTCTCTGTAGATTTTTTTCTAAGCCGCAGAGACAAACGTAGATGAGGAGGAGGTGATAGAGTACAAGTTGTAGATCTGCCTCTACCTAGTTCTCAGTGCGGAAAACTCAGAAACTAAAAAGATTAGAGTGACCTTTCCCTAACTGGCCGATCGGTCTAAAGACCCTTGATCAAACTCGGAATTAATTATAGTTCTATTTGCCTGAAAGACATTTGAGATCCACACGGATATTTATGCACAAAGAAGACAAATATAATATTCCACTTCTGAATTTTGAACAACACAATCCACGTCTGTTATCATAAGCTGAACCTCCTCAGTATCGAATGTAAGGTTATTTGAGAGACTAAAGAACTGATTGGACCTTGGATTGTGTGGCTACAGAACTAGAAAACTTACAATCGAATATATATTCGTTATATATCGGAAACGAAGCTTTCTCTACGCCTCAGCCTCTGGGTTGTGCATACGCTGAAGAAGAACCAGAATTCATTTGGTGCCTCCAATTGTCACCGTACCGCTGACAGAAGAAAGGAGTGTTTCAACACTCTTTAATCGGTGTTAATCAAAAAGAGATGGTAGTAGTTTTCAGCATTTTTCGCACATCAAAAGTGACATAAAATATATAAATGAGAAAGGTTATAGCGGCATACGGTTGGCTACAGTTCATAACCCGGTTCGGCCAATATCCTAAATTATAGAAAACTCATTTTTTCCAATTGCGCTCGTCCGATAGTATTTCCGCCGTCAAGTAAGAGCTCCACATAAAAATCCGCATGGCTAATGGATTGGTGGCGGCTTGGAATAAACTTTCTTGGAAACACATCAAGACTCACCTCAAATCGGAGAGGGAGCTGGGCAAAAAATCACTTTATCGGTTATAAGAAAAAATTTCAAAAAAATTCCATGATTGACAAAAATGAGTCCATAATCCACCGTGCATCGGACGAAAAATGATTCGAGCTGCAGATGTCCACGAAATGTAACTAGTCTTTGCAGACGTCTTCTTATTCTTTTGAAACTTTTTATTTTTAAAGTTTAACACTTTTAAACTTCACAGCAATTCCCACACCATTTAATTCGAATAATTACCATTTCCAAGAATTTTGCTCGATTTAAATTGATTTTCATTTTAAGCTACGAAAGAGTCTCAAAGGATTTCGCACAAACAATCAACAATCGATTTTATGCTTTAGTGAAAACTATTTGCATTTGACACCGACAAACTTACAAACAAATAATTATTTTTACACACATACACACACACACACACACACAAATATTCAACTACGCCTCGCAGTCGTGCCATCTTATCTAAGCTACCCAGAGAGAAGCAAACGCCTCTGCTTTCAATGGCCTTTAAGCCAACTGCGGGGAGAACTCCAACTCATCGTCGTCGTCGTCGTCGTCGGCGTCGTCGTCGTCGCCTTCACAGGCTAAATGGAAATCTAACTTTATATTAAAGATTTTACTCAACGATTGCAATATTTACACATTTTGACAAGACGTGACTGTGCGAACACGAGTGCGCTCTTGTGCGCGTGTATGTGTATGTGCATGCGAAGCACGAAATTTTAAAATTAACCGTGTAGAGAAGACACTTTTTTCGTTACTCTATATCAAACAAATATTTAAATTGTAGACATTTCTTTAATAAACAAGAAATTTGCTTTTGTTTGCCGAGTCTTTCAGCGGCTCTGTCCCTGCTCCGCTCTGCCTGTGGTATATGCCTGAGTGTGTAGATAAAAGTTAAGCTACGGTCAATGCTTATTTGTGAAAGTCTTATAAACTGGTGTGGGGCCTAGCAAATGAGATATTTTTATAACACTGTAGAGGAAGTACGAAAAACTGATAAGCGGCGGCCTGTGACTCGATTTCAATGTGGGGAATTTCACGGAAAGAGAATATTAATGGCTTACAGTGAGAGAAAATATTTAAAATATTTTAAAAATCAATTATCGTAATATCGTAAGATTTTTTAAAACTCGTTTACATCGCATAAGTGCTCGAACACAAGCGCGACCCTTAACTTTATGCCACTCCTGAATTTGGTCTAAAAAACTTCGTTAAACTAAAAGCTTCTCATAAGAAATATGCCACTTCAGAGTTTCGGAAAATATCTTCAGCTGATTCGAATAGCAGAAATTTAGCAGTTTGTCTCAAGTTTGAACTTTTCGCCTTTAGATTCTCTTTGTAGCCTGAAAAATACGAAAATAATATATTCTTCATCATCGTCTTCTTCATAGATGGAAATACCCCCCACGCGATGTTAGCAAAATCAACAGCAGCGCACTATTGATCCTTCCCTACACTGTTTGTCGCCATGTTGAAGATATCAAGTGAAATCAGCTCGCTCTTTACCTGATGATTCCAACTGAGTATAGGTCTTCCCTTTACTCTGATTACAGCAGCACACAATGCATCGATTGCTTTCAAAACTGGTGCACCGTTTCGCCCGAGGGCTGAACTATATCAATGTCACCGTCCAGCTAATCGTTCCATCGTCTGCGGTACGCCCGGTTGCCCATATTCAAAGGACTATCAATTTTACAAAAAAATCTCTATCTCGGCCGACTCTTGGATCATTCAAGCTTCTATACCATTAAGCGGCACGCGAATTATGAGTGACTTGTAGACTTTGGTCTTTGGTCGTCAAGAGAGCACTTTATTTTTCAATTGCTTACTCAGTCTAAAGCACTTGAGGTCGACCTTCTTATTGGTGTTAATGCCAGTTGCTAGATCGATGAAATAGACTAGGGCTTTGAAGTAACGAAGGTTACATTATAAGGCGCTGATCAACGCAT